CTTTGTTCTACGGAGAGTTGTCCCATCCTCCATATCCCAAATGGATTCCTCTTTAACAGTGTCATCCTCTTCTGAAACTGGCAATATTTGTTTCATTGTATTCTGCGTGTATGAAAGGGTTTATAAGTGTGTGGAGGAAATTTGGCAAAGAAATTCCTATATTTAAAAGGAGTTCAGGGACAAGGGTGACCAGGCTTAAAACCCTGACAACTACCTGTTTGTTAGTAATTCACAAATGGGGTTTTTTTGGAAGATTAATTAATCTTCAGCTATTCTTTTTGCTTGTATTTTTTCCAAAAGCATCATTTTTAATTGATCCAAATAAATCCAGTAATTTGAAATTCTCATATTGAAGTCAGCATATAATGTGTTAGAATGTAGCAAACTACAGAATGAAGTATTTTCTAGTACTGCAGTCTTTAGGGGACTCAGTCTGTAAGCAACAGCCTTTGCCAGTGTGGTGAGGGCTAGTGAAGGCTGTGGCTAAGCTGTGAATTACCATCTGGACCTGTTGGGAACTGGCTTCGCTGCTGCTTTTGCAGTTGTGGTTGCACATGGCAAAGAAAGCAGCRTGGTCTTGTGTGGGCAGGGTTCACTGCTACAAGTACTTGGTGTGTGTTGGTCCTCAAGTGAGTGTTAGTTCTAAGCAGGACACTACTTAATAACATCAAACTTTCTGTKGTTAGTGTCCTAGCCTTCTACTGTACTTAATTCTTTCAGCATTTTATGTGGTATTTCAGCTAATTTCCTCACATTAAAAGCTAAGTATTTGTATTAAAAATACAGTTCTATGAGCCTGAGATACTCAGGAACACATTCATCTTTTCCTAAAGTCRTATCTCATCAGAATCATTCTGGCATCAACCAATATCCTGCATCTGAACTCTGAGCTTGTCCTACAGGTTGTTTTCTATATTGGCATGACTTACACTGTGTGATCAGAAGCTTGATCCCACTCTGTTAGAGTTGCAGTGACATGCAAATTCATAATGTTGTTCTGTCAAACTCTGAACGGTAGTTTTCTTCTGCATTAGCTTTTAAAATGTTTGCTATATCCTCATTTCAGCCTGTCTGATTGCCCCGATGCACTTTTGAGCAGTTATTAGAACAGTTAGGGCTGGATCTCTTCTCTGCAAATATATTCCATTATTTGGGATTCAGTTTCCTCATGAAACTTATCTAAGCAGGGATGGAAAACACCCTCAAATACCCTCCTAACGTTTTGCTATAATAAATTTCCTCAGTTTATTGCAGTTGTCTTTCATTAACTAGTTCTCCTTGTTCCTTAGTATTTGTCACTTGAAATGCAAAACCTTAGCAAAAAATCTGGTTTTACTTACCCTTTCATAACAAATGAGTGATGTATTTTAATAATGATTAATTTAAAGCAATAGCTAAGGCTGTAGAAAAATTGTCAGGATACCAGTGATCCACATTTGAGTATTTAGGTTTACAATCTTCTTCTCTTTTTCTTCTTTCTCCAGCAGCTATGCTTTGCTTTGTGAGATTGGTGATTCACTTAATTTTCTGAAGAAGTACCTGGCTTAAAATGCTGGACTGTGCTTTTCAATAGACCTGTGCAGCAGATGTAAATTCTGTCTGTGTGCCAGATGATACTTCATTTAGAGACTGCCTGCAGTTGCCATGTTTTTAATAATGTTTTAATAGGAGAAATTTACATTATTAGATGTAAAGTTAGAAAGCWGACCAGAATTCACTTTCTTAGTTTCATGATATTTCATAGAGAATTTTTTTTCAAAAACTGTCTATAATCTCTTTCCACACCTCTACTGCCATACTATCAGAAATTTAAGTGCAATAACATGTTAATTTCAGTAAAAAAAATCTTATCAGAAGCTTAATTTTCAGCATCTTATTAGAAAGAGTGTGAGCAGAGGTCTGTGGAGATTATGCTGATCACCTCATGCATAGCATTTTCATAACACTAGAAAGTCCATACACTAACAGTTTTTGCATTGACTTCAGCTAACTTTCCCTTTATGTTTGACATAGTCAGAATTTTGATGATTTTTAATATGCTCTTCACTGTCTGTTCCTGAGAGGAAGTGGTAATTATTAGTCATCCACCTCAAGGCTCTTCAGAGCTTTTTTTCTTGGTCACTTACAAAGTGAAAATTCTTTTGAGGATAACTCACTCTGTAAAAGATTAAGCAAGGAGGATATTGCTTCGAGACTGGATCCCCTGGTTGGTATGTCAGCTGACTCTTTGAGTTTCAAGTATATTCAACATCACAAGCTACTTGGGATAAGGTGCTTGGGATGTCTTCCTGCTTGTGTAGCACTGCCCTAGACACCTTGAGCTTTTTAATAAAGTATAGTAACTTTACACGTTCCAAACTTGTTACAGAAATCAGAGCAGAGTGGAAGACTGAAAAGGTATTTGGTTGTGGGAYTCTGAGGCATCATTATTTTGCTACCTTCTGTAAGGTCGTAGTCAAACCTGGGTATTGCACTTCGATAGCTCTTCTTAAAAGATAAACTGGAGACAAATAAGATAAAGAAATATGCCAACTAAAAAATAAAGTTCTTGTTTTTTCTGTTTTTTTGAGATTATTTTAATTTTTTTATTTCCAGCTCTTCCTTTCACTTTTTTAAGATGTCTATTTATTTCTCCCATGCCTTTGCATATGTACCTTCTTGTTCCTTCACCTGTCTTCATGATTCAACTGTTTATAGACAGCCAMGTAAACATTTCACCTCCATGACAAAGTATGCTTTGGAAAATGAATGGCTCTGCTCAGTTTAGCCTGTGCAATTCCAGATTTGTTCATTGATCAGTTCTGAGCAGCTGCAGGAGATACAGAGCTTACATTATATCAAAGGTCATAACTGAACTTAATTCTTTTTGGAGATACGTGCTTTTCTGTACATTCTTTATGAAGTTCAAGCCTAGCTTTAAAAATTATGACTACCTTATAATGTCTTGCGTAATGGAAGAGTTCAGTTAATTTTATTATTGCTGTGTGTTGAAAGGGAATAATTTTGTACAAGCATTCTAGTATAAAAGCTCATAAATGAAAAACAAACTCTCATTATTTTAACTTGCTTCAAGGAATACCTTTGTATTACTCTTTACCAGAGAAAAATATAAAAGTTTGCATTATAATGTTTTAAAATCASAATTAGTGGCTACATATTAAAAAGATTCGTATTCTTGATAGATTGGCYTGACTTAATCCTCCAAAAATGTGTAAACTTCATTAACATCTTTGTATGTGTGTTTCTCTCTCCATAAAGCAAGAGCAAGGGTTACCACTGCTGTGCAAAGGTTAGATCTGACTGAGAGTAAATGCTTAAATCTTGTGGTATTGATACTCTGCTTCCAAACACAATCTCTAGAGATTATGAGAGGATCTGGCATTTCTTTTTCTGTGTTCTGAATGGCAAAAAACTCYCAAACTTGCACCCTTCTTCAGACACCAAATTTGCATAAAAATGGAGAGGTGAGAGCTGTGACCCCGATTATATTCATCCTATTTAAACTGAGAACTGTTGTTTGGGATAATGAGACTCTTGTGTTGTATTACRCTTGCATGCCCAAATTGCACCGCAGAAACAGGCAGTGAATTTGCTCGTTTTCTCTGAAGTTTTAGTCTCATTCTGTGGCAGTAGAAACATGCCTTCTTTACCAAATGAACATCAACTTGGTGGCAAAGATAAGGAAACAATTTAGCCACATCTGGTTAAGTCTATCTTTTGCAATCTTAAATGCAACATTAAAAAAAAAAAACAGAAGAGGAAGCATTTAAGTAAAGCAAAGATTGCCTCTGTAGTCTGTCCTCAGTACATTACCATGTTAGAGTGTAGGTCAGTGKTAATAAGCAATACCCTCTTTGGAAAAACCATGTCCCTAAATGTTCACCCCCTAAAGGAAAGTGGTCTCCAGGGCTTGAATGAAGAGCACATCTGGAAGAATACTCTTCAGCTGAACTCTGTACAAACAACACTTTGTGCTGGTGTGGATGTTTCAGTTAGGGATCAGCCATCCTTTAAATATCACTCTTAGTGTCAAGCCTGTGGATATCACCTATCATATTCTTCTGTTGAAAAATCTTAATTATGTTTCCCTTTTTTTCTATTTTGATCTACTTGAGATATTGTAATAATGGTAATTTCCTTCCCTGGTGTTTTGAATCCTTAGTGTGAAAAAARCCCTAATTTCCTACTTTCTCTTACCTCTGCAACCAATAAATGAACTTTTTATCCCACGCTTTCTGGTCTTTATGGCATTTCTTCATTCAAGAAAAAAAAAAAAAAGAAACTGATCAGTCTCAGAACAGGAAATTGCAATGAGAGTGAATATAATGACTATTATTTATCTTTGTWCTGGGAAAATTGAGATGCCAACAGATCAGCATCTTCCTTATGCCACAAGAGGCAGATGAAACTTGGTAGTGGACTTCAGGAAATAGAACTTTTAGTCTGGCATGTCTAAGCTTAGATCACATCTTAACAATATCATAGTTATATTTTTTAAAAGCAGGTCTTAATCACAAAATAGTTGACAGCAAGTAGCATAAAGAATAAAAGTTTCTAATATATCCCACCCTTTCAGTTCTATTTAAAATAAGTAGAGGAGAAATAAAGATGCTCTGTGTTGAGCAAAAGCCTGTTAAACCCACATGATGTGTGGCAAGTATGTGTGTTATTTTAGATGTMTTATTAAAAGCCAATGGAACCATGGGTGTTGGACTCCCTTGGCTGTGCATCTGTTCATAAAATCGTGTTAGTTTGTAGTACCAGGTGGTACTCCCCAAGCTGCTGACTGGAGCTGAAGAATCCCGTGGTGTCTGTTCATACTGTTTGGGTCATTATTGGAGAATTCTGTTAAATGTTTTAAGAATAGGACAGTCTGAAGGTAAGGCTTAGCAGTGTTAAGAAAGTTACRAAGTGAAAGGGAGCAGAAGGTTCAGTCAGCATAGGATGTGTTTGATGCAAACAGCTTTCATATTGTACTAACCCGTGCATGTCCTTTGCAGGGGAGGAGCTGTGCACTGGCCTCATTTCAGGCTGTTCCTTGGACTGTTCCTTCGGCTTCCAGACTGAYGCCCACAACTGTGAGATCTGTCAGTGCCGGCCACGGCCCAAGAAGTGCAAGCCCATTGTATGTGACAAGTACTGTCCCTTTGGATACTTGTACGTATTCTCATTCTGAAAGCACGCTCAATGCAATCCCTGTCTGTACTGAAAATATGCAAAAATCCAGGCTTGTGTACTTGTGTTTGCTTTGTGGGGAAGCGAGGAAGTGTAGGAACACAGAAACGCCATTACGGATGTCAGAGTGTCGTATTCTTCAAAATGGATTTTGATCAGCACATTTAGAAACAGCAACTCAAAAACCAGCAGATTATAAAGGCAAAGCAGTGCTTAAATTTTTTTTCAAGAACTTGACAAACAAGATGAGAAAGCTACTTGCAAGTAATATCTCTTGCATGTAGCTTTYTGAAATTCTGTTGGCATGGTTTGATAACCTTTCATTTCATAGCCCATTTATTTTATTCAAATTATTATCTAATATTTSAAGTTTCTTTTAATGTTGGTATGACAGCAGACTAGTTTTAGTGAGACTGAATTTTTTGCAAAGATTTGTGAAGAACAGGTCTATATCTTATTTATGTTTTTGTAAATAAGCTCAAAATCTGTATTTGTAGTGGACTTCTTTCTCCCTAAAAGTAAATATTTGTGGTATTTATTTAATTGTGGAATGGGTGATGCAAACTGAGCAGGTCTTTGTGACAAAAATTTCTTAGTAATTAGTTCTGATGGCATCAATATATATTTTACTAATACATTTTAATTTTTTATGCATTCATTCAAAGTTACTGCCTGCTTTTCATAATAGTTTAATTTCTACCTCATGACAGCAGATCTTCAGGTAACGTTCATATGTAATTTTCTTTTTTAGGATTCTCATTGAAGTTTACTGTATTTGCAGCTCCTTGATAGTTATAGTTCTTACATATTTGACTCCTTTTAGAGTGCTCTTTGACCCTTGTTCATAAAGGTTGCAGGTTTTTTAATAGCCATCTTTACTGTAGTGTGTCCTCTTAGTACACTCAGTAGGAAATGAGAGAGGAAAACAAAGAATTTTAAATTAAGGAGTTAATAAAATTATCTTCAGGTGTGTTGACTTCAGGAGTGGMTGAGAGTTATTCTCAGTTTCACACGAGAGACAAAGTAGAATCAGAGTGAAGTTACAGAAAAGGAATCCTGTAAAGAGCAGTAATTTTTAGTCTCTATGTATCACGGGTTAGCATATTAACCTATAGAGGAAAATTACAATTTATGTGTTGTTTCTGTACTTAGATAAGCTGAAACACACTCTTCGTCCTTGCCTTTTTTTTTTACTGAAGTGTGTTTGCAAAACAGTTTTATTAGAAAATCTACGTGAACTATTAGCAACAGCACTTTAAAAATGACAGCACATTTTAAAGGGCATAGTATGCTAGTTTTAAGATTAAGATGTTTTAAAAACAAGTTGATYTCAAGCTGATGCCAGTGTTTTCAGGAATCCTGTCTTTGGGGTGATCTTTCCCATACGCTTTTGTGCACCTGAAAAATATATAAACTTTAAACCTTTTTAAGCTATTTGGAAAATAGTTTTCAATTTAAATTCTGGGTTTGCATGTAGAATGCACCATACTTGACTGCTGTTTTTAAATGATGAATGTTTAATAAAGTCTTCAGATAATTTAATTTTTTAGRAATTGGAAATAAGCACTCTAATTTCATCATTCTCTGCAAAATACATGAGTAATTCCACTGAATAAAATTCATAACATTCAAAGATAACTATGTATGGAACTATTTGTAGTATAAAAGGCTGAAGTTGTGGTAAGAACAACTTTAGGATCATTTCAATTGGAGTTTTATCTTGGTGTTAAAATTATTTAGATTTGTGATTGTATAGTACATTTGTTCAGTTTGCTGCTGCCGTGCCAAATTCTTTTTTAAAATGTATTTGACTTCCATGTGTGTTATGATCATTAAAAACATGGGGTGTAATGGAAGACARRACTCTRTTTTAATGTAAACCTTTAGTCACAAATTGGACACAAAAGAAAGAACTATGAAAAGTATATTAGAGAGTGAACAGTTAAGGAGTAATCATCACTTTTCTGGGGTTTTTAATTTTTTTTAAGAGTCTCAGAAGTTAGTAATTGGAAATACTGGGTTTGTGCATCGCTAAAGAAACCAAAATCTTTTCATAATTGTCTGAAAAAATCTGCTAAGTAAAATCACTGTTTAAAGCTCTAACACATTAATGGAAAGAAGTATTCCTTTTGATGGGATAGGAAGAGAAGTCTTTCATTCTCCACTCTACTGTATGACAATTTGTTATTCTCAGCCTTTTAACTAAAAATGAAATGAAGTTTTCTACAACTTGAAGCCGGCCGTTTTAGAGATTTACATGATTTATATCTCCTCTACCATCCTAGATCATTTTCTAAATTTACCCTGTCTCATCTTTGTTTAGTACATCTGTCCTAAAGTCTGAATAGTATTATCTGCCTTTCTGAAACAGACGAGGAAATATTCAGCATAGGATCCTCTCAGTGGAGGGAGTACATGCCAGGATGGAGAACWATACAGCCCATAAAACCAGTGAATCTAAGGGTAGCAGTTAACAATAATTCTTTTTGTTCACCAGTGACTTCCTTAGCAGGGATGCTCTTGCTTTAAAGTAAAGTGACTTGCTGACCTTTAACAAATTATTTTGGTTATCTAGGAAGAACAAGCATGGCTGTGAAATCTGTCGGTGTAAGAAGTGCCCCAACCTGCCTTGTGGTAAAATCTGTCCATTGGGCTTCCAGCAGAACAGTCACGGCTGTGTTATCTGCAAGTGCAGAGGTATGTGCTGGAGCATTACCACCTCTAACTGCAACTTGTTTTCAAAGCAGTTGGAAAGCAGAGCAAAAGAACAGCAATACTGCACAGAATTTTAACAAATTGAAATATAGTAACTGGGGAGTCCGTTCAGCATTGCTTGACGGAATGTATCATTCTGCTTATGTTTGTTACTATCTGTTCATCTTGGCTTCTCCAGAAAGCATCAGCTCTGCTTTCGTCTCCTGCTACAAAGTCACAAAAAGTTTGTTACCATTCATAAAAATCAGATCAGGCTCTTCATAATCAACTTCTAATTAAACTGGTTGAGGGCATTTTTTTCTGTAGTGATGTTCATCTTGGCCATTGTCTTTTCTTTACAACAAGTGTAGGATTTGATAGATGTTCTGTATATCGCCTAAAATTGTAGTGCTGTTTCTTGGACACTTTCCAGGAAATATTAATCAATAGAGAGAACAGCTACCCAGGAGAAAGAACTTGGTGTTCTTAAGCTCAAAATTCCATACATGAGACATCCCAAATGTATAACCACCAATTTCAAGGTGGATATTGAGATCAGATGTCCATTTGTTGTCTGTCTTACACTGTTGCTGCTTTCAATATCTCTTTTAACAATATTTTCAGATTGTGTTTTTTATTAGTCTGGGTAGAAGGAAGCCAGACTTCCTTCATTGCTCATCTCCATGTTTTGCATTTAATAACTCTTTGGTTTTGCTTAGTTTCTCTCTGATCCTAACTGCTCATTCATGCTTATTTCCTTTGATTCTTATTGTGTGTTTTGATTTTTAGCTATAGTCAAGTAAGTTTGATTACTTTCCCATCACTGTGTGTAATGACTCTATTTTTAACGTTTTGCTATTTCTTTTGCAAAGAAAAGAATTTTTTTTCTTTATAACTTCTTTCTTAATAATTTTTAAAAATTATGAAATATGATAGGACAATTTATGGGAACAGAGCCCTGGAAGAAAGTGTGTGTTYCTGAAGTCATCTCCTGCAGTTGAAGGCAAACATGCAATTATAAGAATCAAAAATATCCAACATTATCTTTTCTCTATATAACATAATAAATACACTTCAGACAGTTTAAGAAACTTTAGGACTTCTAACAAAATAAAAGTTGCAACATTATAAACATATTTTGCAAATGTGAGAAGCAGACAGATTTCACTGACATGAGCTACAATATATTACTTYTACTAGAAATTAAAATTTTAAAAATTAAATAAGAAAGGGTAACTGCTGCATGGTGTCCCACTGAGATAGTTCTTATCACACAGCTTGTCATTTGTCTCCATGTTCACAATCACTACACTTCTCTTSATTGTCATAATGCTGGGACTAGATATACACAAAGTATTCCCTTAGATGTGCCATAATTGCCTCCCAGACTATAAACTTTGGTCWCTAATTATGTGTATGCACACTTTTAAGTGTTTTCCCTAACAAGTCCATGTTAGGAGAAGAACATGTTAGATTTTAGAACATGCACAATTATTTAGTGAAATTAGTTTGGTCCCTCTCTAAGTAGTATTTATTGTTGTCATGATCATAAAGATACCGAGCCATGAGCATATCACTTCAACATCACTTCATTAGCAGTCAAAGAGTTATTAAAACAATCACCAGTATGTTCTGGGRAAAATGTGAGTCCTTGTTAAAATTTTGACCCAGAATCCCTAAGAGGAAGGGATAGGTAAATCCCCTGCCTATGAACTAGCTCCACTTTGTAAATTGCTTCTGCCAGAAACAGCTCATGCTGGGATTAATAGAAGTAGAACCACMGAAGTACAGGCTGGGGTAGTACTCTGAAAAACTGGGAGTCCACTTCTTTGCCCTTCTTTGCATAAAATAGAGTGTATCTGGATAATCCTTGACAGATGTTTGTCTAAGATTTAATTTATTAAGGATCTCCACTTTCAAAAGACATTAAAAAAAAAACGAAACAGAGAGAAAAAAAAAACCTTCCTAAAATAGTGTTTTCCTGTAGTTGGCAACACAGGACATTTAAAAATAAATTTTCTAGAATTTCTGTCTTCCTTTCTGCACATTGAACTGGTTACTTCTTGTCCTGAGTTCAGCAGACATATGGAGCAGTTAAGCACCATTCTCTTTAGAAATCTTGTAAAATTTAAGGGGTTGCAACTGGAAACTCCTAAACATTGTTTTGGGGGAAGATGGATTTCTAAGTCAAACAAATCCAGTTACTCTGGTTTCTCATCACTGTTCAAAACCTTGATGTTATATTTAGCTAYAGTAAAATCTTCAAACTAGTAGAAGTAATAGTGCTGCATTTAAATTTACAGTGCTCCTACACTTRTTTCTTACATTGAACTTGCCATTTCTGCAGTGGTATCACATTACAGTTTCCTTTTTCCTTTTAAACTACTGTATTTCAGATCATTTCAACCATACCTCTAGTTAACCAGTTACTCCCATTCTGWATTTAGACATTAGGTTTTTTCCAAGTRTTAGCTTTTGTAYTAATTATAATTAAAAACWAAAWAATAAARTCAATSTCAGTTTTTGAACTTAATTTTGAAYAGCTGCCTATGTATGTTTCTCCAAATTTTGGAGTGTATTTTGGAATATTTCAGGAAAAAAGAGTTTCTGATATCCTTTTTCCTTCCTAAATAAATGAAGTCTTACTATCTASGGCTTCTGAKTGTCAATAAACATTTTAATGTAGASCAGYATTCCAGWGATATTCATTCAAAWCATAATTTAAATASTCTGATACTATAGTRTGAAAGTGTAATAACTGAATTTAAGTTTTTTCATAGTATTTCCCTTCATGCAATAGGATGAAGTCTGTTCTAAGAAATATTTTGTCTTYGTGCAGTATTTCTTTTTAATTCACAAAATGGTATGCTAATGTAACTTCTGTGTATTGACTTCTTCTGATAACGTGCCTCAAACTAACTTTGTACCATCTGCTTGTAAGAGATCATCTTTAATAGATGTGCCACAGCTGAAGTGCTGACCTACATGCCAGTGTGTAAAAGAAAAAAAAAAAAAAAAAAAAAAAACCCCCCCAAAAAAAAAAAAAAAAAAACCAAAACCAAGCAAAACAATCTGAACACTTAATAAATTACATGTCAACATTATTACTTCTCATGCATGATCCTTTTTGAAAAGAAAATGAAATTAAGAACTTAGTACAGATAGCCTTATATATATGTCCGCAGAACATGGTTGACTTACCAGTAAAAACAAGTCAGTTGCCTGAGAAACTGATCCTACATCCTTCATCATAACAGTGATGTGGATGAGAAAGTGTTGGCTCCAAATTCACTCTGCTGATTAACAAAGAATTCATTGAGGCTGAATCCTGCACCACTTAAATACCYCTTAAGATACAAATGAAACTTTATCCTCTCGAGACCAACTGCTTGTGTGTTCGGATAGAGTGCAAGTAATGCCACAGCCTAAGCCACTGTAGTCTCATCTCAGTAAACACTAAAAGAAATGAGGGGTAAAATTCTCCTAGTTCTCTTACAAATATCTCATTTATCATAGTAATATAAACAAATAATTTCTCATAGGAAATACTTTATGTAGTATTTCCGGTATCTGCCATTACCCTGTTAGCACCTGATAGCAATTTTTTATCATTTATAAGACCATTCGTAGCTACTTAAATGTTTCTATGCGCTACTTGCTATCAGATACATTATAAATAATCTGCTATGTTATTTAAATGTTCTATTTTATTCATGCTTTCTATTTACCKCCATTGCATTTCTCCTTTTTTCTTATATTATTTAGACTACTGCATTTCTGGTTGATCAAAAAAAGTATAGGTTCAACAGAAAGAAGTGATTATATTTTCCAAAGAAATACATTCTACTACATGCAGTTGTCCCCTTCAGTATACCTTTTAGTTGTTTCCTGTGTGTTGTTACTTTATTTCTAAGTGTAAATGATAGAACTATTATTCACTTGGTCTTGCATGTGCTTTAAAAAATAAATGCAATCCYGACATGAAGTTGGTGTTTCTTCCTAGGCAGCAGATGCTTATCAGGGCACCTCATTTTTCTTTGATTTTTTGCAGAGGCAACGGCTTCTCTTATGCCTCCCGTTAAAACAGGCTCTTGCCTGTCCATGGATGGGCGCCGGCATGAGAATGAGGAGAGCTGGCACGATGGCTGCAGGGAGTGTTACTGTCACAACGGACGGGAAATGTGTGCCTTGATCACCTGCCCCATTCCCAATTGTGGAAACCCCACCATACATCCAGGGCAGTGTTGCCCATCATGTCCAGGTAACATTTTCTCCCACATGCTTTGTAATCGAGTTCCTTTTCATTTGTGTTCTCTTTCTTAATACATGGAAATAATCTCACACATCCTTCATTAGGAAGTATAGATGAAGGTTTCTGTGCCCAAATGTAACATGATGAGTTGCYGTCGTTAAGTTCTCAGCTGTGGAAAATGGCAACTTAAATATTTAAAGCATATGCATATTGTGGGTCCTAACATGTTAATCTTTGGCGCATTGGAATCTTTCTTTCAAAAAGTAGTGCTAAAAAGTAGTGAAAGTAACTAAAAGTTTCTAGTCTGTTACCTATAATATCAAGTATTGTAATAAGCCATTACAATTTTCATTTTTTAATTTTAAAGTGGAGTTTTATTAAAACGTGTCTCCTGATGTATGTTTTACAACCCCTCAAAGGAGTACACAAACAGATCTCTTAAGTAAGTGAACATTATGATTCTGTGTTCTGAGGGAAGGCTCCTATGCCACCAGCAGTAGATTATTTCAATGCTTTCAGTGGGAAGGCCAAGTACAGTTCATGTTGCATTCCTGTACAATTTTAATATGAAAAACACCTACAAAAAAGTGTGGGTGGAGTGTAAGATTAATGCCCTCTATCTTCAGAATTATTCCTACAGTATTTTATATGCTAAATAGATTCATTTGTAATGCCGTGATATTGTCTATGACTTTATTGGAAGTCACATTATGAGTAAGAACAATGAGGCTCATGAAACTTCTATAAATARCAGAACAGTAAGACATTGTATCCTAAGCAGGATATAAGCAATTATGAACTCTTTCAAATTCTTTGTAAAGTACAGGAAATCCTAAAGGCAAAATAAGCAGCCAGATCCTCTTTCTGAAAGTGACAGAGAAGAGTGCACCCTCCCTGTGACCTAAGATAACCCATCTCTGTAGATTGCTTAGACAAATGGTGATCTCCAATCCAGTTCACACCTTAAGTCCCCAAAAAGATGCAAGATTCCCAAGGATCTGTCTCTCTTTCAGCCTTTTCACAATGATTTGTGTAGTATTGTCGGGAATGGTATACCTCAGGTGGATAGAGATGGGTTGACATGTCAGTCTTGCATTAGATAAACAAAATTCAAAATTGAAAATGTATGATGCCTGTTCCAGATCCAAAAATTCTGTTGTTAGGTCCTCAAGCCTTATCCCTGACTTCATTCTACTCTCAGCRTACTTGTACATCTTTATTTACTGGATGCACAGAGAAAACTTCAGAGCATTCAAATAACAGTAATGTTAATTTTGGTCTTTCAGCTGAGCAGCAGCTAGTTACTTTGTGTATGGAGAATGAGCTTGGGTAAATTCATTCACAAGCCTAATGTTCAGTTCATGGAAGAAAGATCAATATGAAGTTAACTACCTATTATCTTAAATTATATATTTCTTGTGGATGAGATCAGCATTTGATTTCAGCACCAGCAATATTGGTCTCTGATGAAAGATCATCTGCTTAGCCAGCAGTGTCCATTCCTTTAAGAGATAGGGTCTGTCTGATATCAGTCCTGCATTCAAGACACTGGACACCTCAYTTCTGGGTTAGCGAAGTCATACTTGGTGTAAACTCTTACAATGCTAGGGCAGACACAGCATTTTAAATATGGCATATGTAAGTGTARGAATTTATACAGCCAAATTAGTCTCAGTGTGGAGTTTTATTCCCCTCTGAGGTCTTGTGTTTGTTGGAAATGTAATTCTGATTTCATTTCACAACATATTGATTCCCCRCTGATTATGTTATATAATGGCTTTAAGTAGACAAAAATGCAGTTTGGAATTGTGAGACTGTATGTCACTCAACTGTATCTGCCATAAGGATATTGAATTAGGAGTCYTGATGTACTTGATTTGGAATTGCACTGTTAACCTATCAACAGGGAAGTGGCAGTTCTCAGATGTCATTTTTGAGGTTGAAAATTATGTCATTCCATTCAATTCCATATTTAGTTAGRGTCCAGCAGAGCAAGATATACCTTGATTGCTACAACGTTCCTTGTAACCATGTTTCTACATATTAAGAGGTTTATATGGATCATCACAATGCTTGTGAAAATCTCCAGGTTTCCTGTAAGATTTGGAAAGCCRTTGATTGCTGGTGTTTTGCAGAACCATGCCATGCAGAAAGTGTGTATTTGTTKGACCAGGTGTTTCTCCAGCTTTACAGTAGCTGCACATTTTTGGCACTTGAGTTGCAGTGACATCATCAATGCTGCTGAGGGAGCAGTAGGTAATRTACACTGCAGTACTATCTGGTTATSCCTTTTTGATCAGGAACAGGAATGAGCTGTAGAAAAACAGGTCTGTGACTTTGCAGAGAACTAAGTGCAAAGGAGACATCTCAGGAAATTTCCAGAAAAAAATTAGTATTGCCTKTGCCATGGTGAGTTAGGATGCCATTGCATAATATGTAGTATGTTGCTCCAGCTGAAATAAAAATCAASCAGTGACAAGATAGCAGGTTAGCCATCTCATTTCAGGTAAATGCTGCTGAATCGTGCATGTGGTTCATAAATGTAAACAATTGGAAAAGCATTGCATAAGCAAATCAGTGAAAGATAAAATAATTGCCTGAAAGAAAAACACAGGTACTTWGTGAATCGAGTAAGATCAACYAGAATTGGCTTCCTCTTGAGTTCTGCTGATCATTCTCCAGGAATGAAAACAAACAACTGAATGGACTTTCTTCTGCATGACAATGTCATAGAGCGAAGGTCACAAATGCTGTTCTCCAGACAGAGCAGCAGTGCTGGAAGCATGAGGAGAAGCCAGGAGCACTTTGAGAGCCTTGGCCTACCTRGAAGTCTAGAGGAACTGCTGTACACTCAACTTTTCTCTCCCTAACCAAGATGTTTGGGTTCAGATGATGTTCACATCAGGCATCATTATAATGAAGTAGGAGAGAGGGACCTTCCCAAAGTGGTTTAGACCTATGACATTGTTAGCAGGAAGTCACTTTTTTCTTCTCCTCCATTCATAGCATAGGAAACCTGAGGCAGTTCAGTTCTTAACAGAGGCTGCCTAATGTCACATGGGTTGAATTCAGGCTGATGGACATCACTTATAAGCCTGGAGCTCGGCTTTGACGCTTATAGCTTTCAAACCCATGGTTTCTGCAGCTCAGTTAAACATGCTGTGTGAGACATCTTGGTGCCTGTGCACAGTGCATGGAAAAAGCTGGTGGACTCACTGGTAAACAGGCAGCTGTTATTCTCCTTATTGCCCCTAGTGTGGGGAAGGTTTCAAGGCATTTTGAGCAGGCTGGGGATGCAGTTTGCAGCATAACCTTTTCCTTGATGGTAAATCCTTAAACACCCTTAAGGAACAGGATAGGTTTCTTTTTTTCTTTCAAAACACCAAGAGATAAAGAGTTCCCCCATTTTTTTAATACCCAGAGGCTGGAGGACACTCACGCTGAACAAGGGAAACAGTTTCAGTTCCCTCCTTAATATGAAAGAGGTCAAATCTGTCCTCTAAACTGCCAGGGTGAATCTTTTAGCCAGGGCTGCAGAGGTGGTGTAATTAATTATTTGAAAAGGAATAAGGTTAATTTGRTGAGTCATTATTGGAAGAATGAGTCTATACACAGTGGTGTTTCCTTGGATCCAGTTTTCATCGCAAAGATGGCAGATTTTTTTTTTTTTTTTCATGGAACAGTGATGAAGCACTTCCGCTGGTGTTAAGTGCTTTTACATTTTTAGGGGGCTGGGTGGGGGATTCTGTGTTTTTCTTTTACTCTTCTGGTGGGTTGGGAGTTTTTTTGTTTGTTTGAGTTTTTGAGGGGGGTTGTCTGGATGGCTTTTTAATGTAGCATCAAATGATAAAGATGATATAGGCACCTGTTGGAAAACTTAACTTGTGCCTGGACTTTCCAAATCCCAGAGGAGAARCATACTTATCTGTCCTTTCAGGAAYTGTAACTKATSCTAATATTTAGCATTTAAGAAAGTCTCTGAACAGAATTTTTCAGAAAATAGCAATTGTCTCTTGGAATTCCTAAATCATAAGTCCTAAATCATAAGTGAAATGCGAAGAACACTTGAAGTTGCCTCTGATTTGTGTTAACTAGTCTTTATTCAGACCGATTCTCAAATGTTTCTTTTTTATGTATTTCCAATTTTTCATGAGATGCAGGTGCCATGGAGTCAAAAGAGCTTCATTAAGAATAATTTTTATATGTTTTTTCAGAAATAACAGAAATTCTTCATCTTGTGTACAGTTGTTGATTCTAAGAGTCACCGTTTGTTTTTGCCTCTTTTTCCCAGATGAAATAATCGTGCAAAAGCCAGAGCTCACCAGCCCATCAGTCTGTCATGCTCCTGGTGGGGAATACTTTGTGGAAGGAGAGACCTGGAACATCGATTCCTGCACCCAATGCACATGCCACAGTGGMCGTGTCCTGTGTGAGACTGAAGTCTGTCCGCCGCTTCTGTGYCAAAACCCCACCCGCACACAGGACTCCTGCTGTCCGCAGTGCCCAGGTGTGTGCTGACATCCAGCTTTCATCAGAGCCCTTCTTTGAGCTGAGCATGTCTGATGTTTCGCTGTGACAATGCCTCTGTGTGCACAGGCGGTGGTTGTGGTGCCTTTGTTCTTCAGCAGGTTGGAGCGACAGCCTGCAGTCCTCTATTTCAAATGCAAAACTTGACTGTGTGCAAGAGAGATCTTACGTGTAAAGGGGGGTTGTGGCCCTGAACTTGGAAAATCTTTGAAGGCAATGTAATAATGTAGGAGTTGGGTGAGARCCACAATCCTTGGAAGGTTTATGAAATATGCACTGATTTATGGAGACATACAGGATTAGAGAAACTTTGAAAGCAGTCAAAGTGTTAGGTAGATACAGGCTTGTTTCCTTTGCTTTCTACATGCCTTGGTTTCTATGAAACCTCTTTCTTTTTATTACTACCTTGTCTATTTGGGATTTGATCTCAAAAATACTTCTGTTTGATTTTAACCTTCACATRGTATCATTCTGAGTGGGATTTGAAGGCAGCTGAGTAATATCAAAGCATTCCAGCATGKCAGGTGTACCAGACTCCTCCTGTACAGCCTCACAGTGTTAAGAAGATAACAGGATTTGCTTTTCTCCAAGGAAAGATATTCAATTATAAATGAACATAAATTCCTATTTTACATAGCAAATGAGGGCTTTTATTGCAGTGGAAATTTAGTACAAACCTGTGAATTGCATATGAACTCACTGAGAAAATGTGCCTTTATTAAAACCAAAATTAAAAATTTTACTTTAGGAAAAAAAAGAAGTTAAGTTTTGCCATTAGGCTTTGCTACAGGGTTTTTTTTTGGGGGGGGGGGTTTGGGTGGTGGGGGGGGTGGTTTCTGACAAAATACTTCCAGTAAACAAGATAGCTAGTTCTCCTGACTTACATTTTCCTCATTATTAATAATGAACATTTGCTTACTTCAAAATACTGTTTTAGAGGAGCTGATCTTTCCTCACTGGCTATATAATAAGCTTTGTCTCATAGCTTAATGCCTTTAGATTGAGAACCTGATCTAAATGCTGTTATGAATCCTTTCATTTCCTCCCTTTTTCTTATATTTTCTCTGCRCATACAATCCTCTTTCTTGACCTGTAATGTCTGTTAAAATACAGCTTCATTGCAGGAATATGTCTCCCCCTTGGGCAGGCATGAGAATTAAAGCAAACCACTGACATCAGGCTGAAACATGATAAARTTCCATTTGTTCTTCAACAGTTTATAATTAGCTCATCTAAGTCCACTAGTGAAGGTGACAGCAGCAAAGCAGCTTTTCACTTAGCATCATTCAAAGACTTGGGCTGATGTGGTAGAAGCTGAGATTCAGATTTTAGATTTRAAATTTAATCTCTCTTGTTTGAGATTAATTCCTATATATGATACCATTCAGAGCATTCAGAATCATTTTCTGAGCAGCTGCTTCTGATGGCAATTGTTTTTCACTTCACTGTCYTTTTTCCAAATTTTTCTTTGTTTTCTTTTTTTCTTGCTTTCTCTTTCATTTTTTTTTTCCTTTTTCAGTAAACTCAATAAAGGTTTAAATAAGAATTATGCCAGAGCATTTCATGAGGTCTTCATCCCATGTGAGGACTGAAGRGGCATGAGGCTCTCTCCTTGTAGCTCTTCTGAAGCAGCGAGCCAATGTGTAACAATTCCATTGTGTTCTTCAAAAGTGAACCCTCTGTTCAGGAGCTATGAGAGAAGTTATCCACTGTAAATTCAATGACTTAATCTGTTTATATTTACAGATGAGACTCTTCAGCCCTCGCCATCGAGCAATGAGAGCATGCCCAGTTACTGCAAAAATGATGAAGGAGATATTTTTCTGACAGCTGAGTCCTGGAAGCCCAATGTGTGCACTAGCTGCATCTGCATGGATGGTGTGATCAGATGCTACTCTGAGTCTTGCCCGCCAGTATCCTGTGAGAGACCTGTTTTGAGAAAGGGGCAGTGTTGTCCTTACTGTATTGGTGAGTAAATTAAAATGGTTGTTAAACTTGCTGTACCCTTCTTGGGAAAYAGAAGTTTTATTTCCAAACTGAATTGCTTTCCCTGGTGAGATGCAGTCTATGTCAGTCGACTGGAGAATGAAACCTGCATAGGGAACTTTGAGGATCATGATTTGTGGGTTTTCAGGTAGAAGCACGTAGAGGTATACATGTAACTTGCCTGCAAACTCCACAGGACATACTCCTAGAATCTTGGTAAGACATTAGATGAAGACATTACAAAAAATTATTTTATTTAAAGGAAGATCTGCCAGGTAACACATATGTTATGTCAAGATTTATGTGATAATGTGAGGAAAACATTAATCATGACGGCAGAAGATGAGCTGAAGCATTCTGAAATTTCACTGTYAATAAGGCATCTAAATTAGAATACAGAAAAAAATGGAATTGCATTAATGATAATATCTTTGAGAAAAAAATAGGGAAAATATATTTTTTTAAAAATGCTTAAAATGCATGAAGAATTAGAGCCATGCACTGGTGTTRMWTTTGGAGMTGAAGTAAATGGTGGATGCTGTAGACAGTGAAAATTGCCAGGYATTTTTCAAGTAGCAAAATTTGAGACTACAAATCACTTTTTCATTGTATGCTGAATAGGAGTATTTATGTACAGAAAACTTTTTTTGTGAGTTCACAGTAAGTACAAAGGCTGTAGAATGGAAGCTGCTGATAGAGAAAGATCATATAACATACTTACTGAATTTAAGTCTTTGTAGCATTGTTGGAAAGCATTCGGAGCTTCATTTGCAAAAGTAGTAGGGCAAGATAGAGTAGAAAAGAACAATAAAAAGGGGTATAATAAAATTGACAGGCTTTAAATATTTAATTGAATGTGTGAGTCAACTTGCCCATCTATAAACAGAACAGTTCATCAGAAAGATGTCAGATTGTGATGTTCAGAGATTGATACAACTCTTGACATCTTGAAATCATTGCAGATATAATACCTTTAATAATAGGTGATACAGATTTATATCATGTGTAAAAGGAATTCCATGAAAGAATGCCTGGAAAAGTTAGAAAGTATCCAAGTTTCAATTGCCTTTGGAACCCTATTTGTATYCCTGATGGGGATACTTGGGGGAAAGTACTGTGTTATTCTATTACTGTTTCTTCTCATGGTTTGCATTAAAAATKGGGAGAATTTAAAGTTTCTTGGACAACTGTCTTTCTGCAGATGACTTTTTTTCCAGTGACTTGGAACCTTAAAATAGTTTTAATCCAAAAAACATTTTAACATAAAAAAATTAGTGTATGAAAAGTTGGACAATCAAACCAGTAGAGTCAGAACATGAGCCTTAGTACTGTACTGGAAAATTCTGTGGATGAGGAGGGGATGCACCATGGGCTATTTTATAGCTCATTATGCAATGAGCTATAAAAATGAAACCTTTAAAACTTTTTGCCTTCATCATGCATGTCAGGTTTGCAAATATATACACACAATATGTAGCTACGGCTTGAAATAATTTACTTCGAATCCTGTGTAGTTGTATACTATTGCAAATACTTAATGTCGGAGCTAAGAAAGCTTAATGATTTTTTTTTTAGTAGTAACTGCTCAGCAATGCAAAATGCAGAAGCCAGATTTTAATTAACACTCGGATATAAAGGTTTTCAATGATGCTAAATTTTATTTATCCATGTTGTCCTATGTAGTCAGAATGCTTTGTGATTAAAATAACTGAAATTCCTGGAAGAGTAATTTTTTTTATGGTTTCTATGAATTATATGTGCTCTTGCATGTAAGAGGAGTCAGGTTATCCACTTAATTTTTGTCTTTCTGGTTCTTACTGGTTTACTCTTCCTTTCTGAGAAATGTGAAGCACATCTTTGTACAGATTCTTTCTTACCAYTTTCATGTAATACTTGATAAAATGTTTAGMACTATAGAATCATTTAGGTTGGAAAAGACCTCTAAGATCAACAGGTCCAACAGTTAACCATGCACTGCCAAGTCCACCACTAGATCATGTTCCCAAATTCCCTGTCTATACATCTTTTTAATACTTTTAGGGATGGTGATTCCGTTGCTTCCTTGGGCACAGGCAAACTCTGTGGAAACAGGCCTTCTTCATTTATTGGAATTTCAAAAATTATGCATGTATTTACCACTGCCTTACTTTATTCTGCTACTTTCTGGATCCAGTTTGTATAGATTCAAATTCAAAATTTTASAGTCTTGGATGCTTTGTTTGAATCTTCAAATTCATCCCGTGTGTTCACCATTCATCCTTCTCATGCAAAGGGAGATTAATTTGGAAAGATAACCTCCTACTTTAGAGAGGATAAAGGGATATCTGTTTGATTAGAGACAAGATTAGTCTTCTGCAGAAAACAGAGCAATGACTGTTTGTTTACCAGATGAGACTGATTTTCTGGTGCAGCTAGAGGAAATTTGAGAGAAGCAGGTAGAGCTAGACACAATATTCTGAACTGTGGTTTTGTATGTGGTTTCTTACTGCCAGTCTGTCTTGTTTGCACTGTCCTTGAGCACCTGTTGGTGTGGTGGCTTTCACCTTCATCCTTGTTTATACTTGCATAGAGATGTACACCAGAACAGGAGACCCTCACAGGGTAATACTTCATTAGGACTTAAAAATTTCCTCCTGAGGTTCAAAGGTACAATTACAATTACACTGTAATTGTGATTTTACCCTTGTTCATTCTTCTAAAAAATATTCCCTGTATTAAATTGTGACGTGTTCTTCACAAATCTGGAAAAGCGCTGAGCAAGTTGAAGTACTTTTCCAGACAAACCAGCTGCTGAATTGAAAAAGGTGTCCTGAGTGAAGCAAGGTAGCATTTTGGGRGCAAATCYRAATGGGCCAAGAGTGCTCAGCTTTMGGTCTGYGTAGGTAATGAGCAGCAGAGGAATGCYCAGGCTGTGTCCCTGTCCCCAGACACACCTGCTTCCTGACTAACACAGGGCTCTGCTGGCTCTAGATGCCAGCATGCACATCATCTGAGGAACAAAACAGTGTCCTTTCTGCAGCTCGCAAACACTTCTTCCTCCCACTCTTCCTTTCCCATGCCCACACCACATTCGTTTAAAACATCTTCTACTTTGAGAGGTTGGGGCCCAWACTTAAAGCCATGAAAGCTATGAGATACCAAGGACCTCTGGAATCACTTGTGCATTTCAGATAATTCTGTTAATGTTTTCATTATTGTACTTCTTGGTCTGCTTTTGTATTTTAATTTATTCAGTCCAGAGTCTGGTCAGAGCAGCAGCACTGGTCTGCTGACTGCTAACCTTGTTATTCCAGATTATGTCACTCTATTATGTCGTCACTAATTAAAACCTTTACTGATGGCCCAAATATRTGATAAGGCTGAYRTACRGTAAATATATCTTASTGGCAAACTTAAAGAYGTAATCTGTGTGAATGTTRAACCARTACTTACCTGAAAGTTTAAGAAGTTTGTGGTTTCATTCTGTTATCTCATTCATATGTTTAATGTACAAGCTCTTGTCATCAGCAGGTTTCATTACAGTAATTTTTGCCTCTAAGAAACAAAGGYAGCAGGAAGCTGAGATGAAAATGAGTCACTGCTTGGCTTTTGGAGTTTCTGCTGCGTGGTTTTATTTTGCTTATCCTTAAAGTGCTCTAGCAGCAAAAAAAAACCTCCTAGGCTAAGCAATTCATTACTGCCTTCTCAGTGAAATAAAAGGTTTACTGCAGACCACCTAAAAGGCTTGCATAGACTACAACATTAAAAAGTGCTGTATTGAATGCCTAAGCAGAAAGATCACACCGATTTCCAATTTATATAATATTAACCATGAAAAAATATATTGAGTTTAGTAATTGCTCTTTCCTGGGGTTTTCCATTGATGCAGTTGCAGGGAATTATCAGATCCCCTTCAAATTTTTTTATCATTAGCAGTCTAAGCACTTCTAGTTATCTCACCTGAGAGTTGTTTCATTCTTCTCGGTGYCCTGCCTAATCTGCTTTTTTAAGTACTGTAGAAAGAGTTCATCATTCTTGAGCTTTGGTAGTTAGAAATGTAGTTAGGGGTTTAGGTTTTTTTTTTTTTTTACTTTTATAGTATTTAGTAAGAAACAAGGAAGATGAGTAGTTGGCAGTCTCAAACAGTCAAACAGAATGACTTTTTCTTAATTTCCACAGCAATTTTGATATCATCTCTTCATGTCAAATCAACCATCCTCTAGCATTTTGCATTATGAAAATGAGGAGGAGCAGCCCGGGCTAATTATGTACTTCATAAAGAAGCAGAAATGACATTTTTTCACAAAGGTTTTCTAGAAGATGAAGCAAGGATCTTTAAATCACAGCTGGGATTTCTTTGTGGCAATTGTTTCACTTCTGTGCTTAGGAAAGAAATGCAGTTCATATGTAATTGGCTGTTACTTCAGGTTCACACCACTGTTTTCCTCCCACAGAAGATACAGTTCCAAAGAAAGTGGTCTGCCACTTCAGCGGAGAGACGTACGCAGATGAGGAGCGCTGGGACATCGACAGCTGCACACACTGCTACTGCCTGCAGGGTCAGACTCTCTGCTCCACTGTCAGCTGCCCACCTCTGCCTTGTGCTGAACCCATCAACGTGGAGGGAAGCTGCTGTCCCATGTGTCCAGGTAAYGGGATGTGACAAACCAGTTTATTGTGATGCAGGTTCCCTAGGGCTGATAATAAGCTTTTTTAATTGGGTTTTGAATGCCAGTCCGTGTTTGAACAGTATCACAAAGACAACAGAATTTTGGAGTTCAGGAAAATTAATATTCTTAATAGATAGACACATTGTGCAAAAACATGRTTTGAATTTCCCTTATACTGAGAACTGTGAATTGAAAAAATTACTTGCCCCTGTTTTGTCCTTTCACAAGGCTATGGAAATACATTAATGAAGTGATAAAATTAATATCCGTATATCTCTGCAGATTATGTCAGTGATAAACATTTCTGTCTCTTGGTTACTTTTCAAATATCACATTGCTTTATTTATCACTTTAACTTTGTTTAAAATCAATATGAAGTTTTCTTAGCTATGGGCACAAGAGACATAARAATTGCAATTGGTTTTTAATGTGAGTCCTGATGTATTTCTGCAAAAGTTTGCTCATCTTATTCAGACAGCTGGTAGCTACTTCTTACAGGACAACTGGGGAGATTCAGCAGTACCCCCTCTTGCAATTCTCTTGCTTTGAGGATTACAAAAAAAAAAAGGCAAAGAAACCAGTAGTGACTATTTACATATCAGCTGGAAAGATGTAGCCTTCCCTTTGGTTTTGGTTTGGTTTTTTTTTTTAGTATCACAGAGGAGCAAGCCTGTAGCAAAGCATGTATTCTGAAATTGTATTTTCAAAAGCAAGTTTGTCCTCACCAGTCCTTCATCCCATTCATGTTATGATAATGACAGTAGGCATGTATACCATATTATAGTATGGAATAAGTTTTAAAACAAAATCCCAGGCTAATGATGAAAATTCTGAAATGAATAAAAGAATTTAAAGAACAAAGCACTGCAGATGGGCAAGTATATTTCCTGAATTAAGAGCAGCACTGAGAATTTAAGCAGCCTGTAACCTGTGAAACACATTTATCTCATTTCACAGAGATGTATGTACCTGAACCCACTAACATCCCCATTGAGAAGACAAATCATCGAGGAGATGTTGAACTAGAAGTACCAAACTGGCCAACACCGAGTGAAAATGATATCATCCACATTCACAGAGGTCAGATCTGATACAAAATGGGATAATTTACTGTGTTTATTCCCCATGTTCTCATAAATCTACTTTTTCTATTCAGATAGCATTTGTAGAATGCTTTGAAAAGGTGGTTATCTGAGAATATTCTTCCATGCATAACTCTTATATGCATTTTTGCTTTGAGTAAAGATGAGTCAGTCGATTAAATTACATTTACACATTTTGGTCTCATTATCACTCCATGTTAGGCATAGAAGAAACATCTGTGTTGGTATGATGGAGTTCTATACAGTTAAGAATATGACAAAATGATGAATCAGAAATGATTCTGCAGTGTCTTTCCTGATTCAAAAACTAGAAAGCAGGCCATTAGAGTTGATAGAGCTTTCTTTGATCCATTTGACATTCTCATGAATAGATAAACTAAGATGGAAAAACACGTACCACAGCTCAATATATATCATATATATTGATTTATATATAAATGTCAGAACTTAGACAAAAAAAACCCTCAGATATAGTGACACACAGCTAATGTAGTTGTCTAATGATGTAAATGCATCTTTTGTTTGAAACTGCACTGTAATACTATTTCAGCGTAGAGGAAACATTCTATGCCACAGTCTTCGTTAACCTTTTCTAATTGAAGGACAGCCTAAACTAAGTATCTATTTTAATCTGAGGATGATCTCCTAGCATACAATTGTTTGCAGAAAGAATGCATGAAATGTAACTGCTTTATTAAGTTCTAAGCTTGTACTTTTATAATTAGAGCATTTTCATTTCTCAGGCATTGGTAGCTGGCTTGCAACTATCCTGCCTGGGGATTGTAAACACACAGTACAAACTGTATGGGARTTTTTTATGTGCCATTGAGAGTTACCATTCTTTACAATTACACACAAAACTTGCTACAGTCTAGTAGATTGCAGGTAGTCTGTTTTCACAGGCTGAGTGCAGCAAATGTTGTTATATGCTCTTCACAGATGAGAGAGTGAACACATTGTCATTGTCCTAACAGTTTTTAAAAGTAAAAAAAAGAAAAAATTACTTTCATCCTAAGATTTCCAAGTTCTCCTCAGCCTGGAAACASWSTSWKWTTTWTTTTWAAATGGGAATTTGGTTGTGATCAGATAAGATCATGCAAACACAACTGAGTTAAGAGGTTATTGTCAGACTTGGTTATTACTGTGGTTTAGATTTCCTTCTGTCTCCTCTTTTTTGATGACCTTTTCCTGACTAATATAGTCTCTGTACAAAATACTAGCTTTGGGTTGCTCTAATTTATGTAAATAAGGTGACATTGCAGGAGAGAAAGCCCAAATTTATATGAGTGACAAGATGTAGGACTGAGACTTTCACAATGACATTGTTCCTTATGGGCAAGGCCTGTTGATAATTACTGACAAATGCTCCATTTGCAGACATGAACCATCTCCAGGGAGAATACCGAAGTGGCAGTGGGCCACACCCCAGCGAAGATGCATCTGTCAGCTCTGTTGCCTTGGTGACAATCCCAATCATGATAGCACTGTTGCTGATCATCGTCTTCCTGCTCATCAACCAGAAAAAGCAGTGGATTCCAGTGTCCTGCTACAAAGCTCCAACAAAGGTACCATGTCTATTTCCAGGGTTTCCCCTTTTTAGGAAACCAGGAACAAAACATGGTGGAAAATGTTAAGCAATAAACAGGCTTGTAAAAATCTGGGAAAAAAGGCTGCTGCACGTCTGGGGCAACACAAAGGTTAAGCCTTCGTGTGCTGCTAAGTTAACAGAGAACAGTTTACCCAGCCCAGCTGGGATATGAGAATACCAGAGTTCCATTCAGAAGATGAAAAATGGTAATTCTGAAGAGAGTTGTTCTGTTACTATGTCTGGCATAAGACAATTTTAGCAAAAGTCCAAACTCTTTCATTGCCAGTTTRATTTTGTTTTGTGTTTATGGACTTGAACCAAAAGGAGTTTTAAAATTATGTGTGGAATACAAAAATTGTATAATTTACTCAATATTTCCTTTCTGTTTTAACAGCCTTCTTGCCTAAACAATCAACTGGTATATGTGGACTGCAAGAAAGGTACAATGGTCCAGGTGGACAGTTCTCAGAGGATGCTAAGAATTGCAGACCCAGATTCAAGATACAGTGGATTTTACAGCATGCAGAAACAGAACAACCTACAGGCAGATAATTTCTATCAAACAGTTTGAAGAATTGCACCCTTACCAAGGATTTAAGAAAGAGAGAGAGAGAAAGAGAGACACTCTGCTATTAAAATAAAACTAGAATTGTGCACTTGCTTAGTGGATTGTATTGGATTTGTGACTACATGTACAGCTCTAAGACCTTTCTGGGATGAGCTCTGACTCCTGCAATGTGCCAGAAAAAGCATTCCCACTTTTCCTTGAGATAACTGACCAAGTGTTTTCTTAGAACCAAAGTTTAAAAACTTGTTAAGATGTATTTGCTTGTAACATAGCTATAGAGGATTTTTGGGAGGGGGAATCAGGGGCTAGGGATAGGCAAAGAGATAAAAGGAAGCTTCCGAGAAGAAAAGCTGGTCATGCTTGGCTGAAGAAGAAAATATCTGCCGAGCAGCAGGATAGTGGTTTTCCTTGTTGCTCTGAAACTGTATCTGTTGCAGCAAAAGCCTAACCCCAGGTGAAAAAAAATATGAAAAGGTCTGATTTTTTTTTCCAGCTGTTGCTACAGTAATATACTCCTAGAACAGAATTTGTCACATCACAGGTGTGGTGTAGCTGCAAATATTTTTCTATATGATGAGAAGCTGCAGTAGTTAATGAAATAGCAAGGAAAAGATTATAGCAGAAAATAAAGGGTGGGTTTATTAAGGATGTATAAAATTATACCTTGTGCTGCTTTTTGTTTTTGTTTTTGTTTTCTTCAAAGCTGATTGGCTAGATTGGCCAGACTTCAGCAGAGTTAGCAAATGACTGAGGCCTAAGTAATTCCTGATATGAGCACTGGATCTTTTGACAGCAGTATTGAAGGGAGGAAGGAAGGAAAGAAGGAAGGAAGGAAAAGTCAAGAACACCATGCAGTTCCAGGGGCTTTTGTTTGTTTGTTTTGTCTGTTGTGGTTTTGTTTTGTTATTTTATATCAATCTCTGGTTGTTCATACAGGAGAAGGAAAAATATTTTTGTTGGACAAAGCTCTTGCATACAAGAGAGTAAAAAAGAGACTGTTTTAAGGTTGTTGTTTTTTTCCTGTTGATGTCCTTATTTACTGGTATGCAGATTTAGAAACTACTTCCATGCTAGGAAGCTGCTTAATTTTAATTGTATATTACTCAAGCACCTTTTTTGAAGTTCAGAAAAAAAGGAGATCATGCTTCTTTAAACTTTAGCATTATAGGAATATTTATGTAAATATAATTATGCTAAAAACAACAAAAAGTATTTGTATGTTTGTGTATATATATGTATATACAAATGCATGTATGTATACATTTGTATATATACATGCATATGTATATACACTATACATATATATACTGTATATATAAAATACTATGTATACAGTATATATTTTTCTATTTTTTTTTTCTTGTTGAATGTATTTTTATCTGAGAGAGATTTTACCCAGAGCAGAAACAGATAACAGGCATTCCATATCAATGCTTAATCACTTGTGAGTGTAGGAAAGACAAGAAAAGAGCATCTCATTCTACCTACAGTTTGATTTGATTTGATCTGATTTGATTTGATTTGAATTGATTTGATTTGATTTGAAAGTGTTTGTATGTGCGTGTGTGTGTGTGCACTCTTGTGTTGGCGTGTGTTCAGTTCGTGCACGATTATAGCAGTAAGCGTTGCTCTTGCTACATTTCAGGGTGTTTCTTATTTTTCTTTTCCTGCTTAGCCTTAAAAAGGCTTTTTAATGAATGCATTGGCTAGAGACACTGATGACAATATACATGCAGCACTAATCACCTCCATAAAATAACACAATCAGCTCCTGGATTTTGGTTGGGTTTTCTTTTTCTTTCTTTTTTTTTTTTTTTTCAAACAATTGTTTGAAACAACTACTGGAATATTGTCCTCATTAAGCTGGAAGTTTGTTGTAGCTTGCCTCATTTATAACTCTGACTGTATAATACAATGTTAACTTTCCAAACAGGTCTTGGCACTTTTATACTAATTACCCATTAGTGCATTGCCTTTTTTCTTTTACAAATGCTTGTCATAAGAGACACAGATACCCAGTATGCTTAATGTGAAAAGAAAATGTATTTTTTGTAAAGGAACTCTCAAGTATTGTTGTAAATACTTGGTCAGAGATTGCTGAACTTTAAAACTGAAAAAAAAAAAACCTAATTTATTATTATAATGACCTAATTTATTAATCTGAAGATTAACAATTTTTTTGTTTTAGAATATCAAAAAAGGTGTTCTAGCTGTTTGCATCAAAGAAAAAATAGGTGTATCATTAAGGGTCAACATTTTTTCTGCTTATATAACTTCAGTTTCCAACCACCAGTAAGAAAAAATGTAGTCTCCCCAGTGTTTTGTACTCAATCTGATATTGAAACAGATGTTTCTGTCCAGTAACTACAGAGATTTTGTCAAGACAAAACATCCATTTCTTGCATAAGAGTAAGCAGTCTTTATCCAGAAATTGTAAATGCTTGCTTTTGTTTTACAATCAAGGCCATATTCTGAAAATATTAGCAGGATATAGGACATGGTGTAAAATGTTTTTATTATTATTTTATTATTATTATTTTAAAGATATGATTTATCCTATGTGCTGTATCCATTACACTCTTTTACTTTGGTTCCTGTTGTGCTCTTGTAAGAGAAATGCAGATATAATTTTCTGAAAAATAGATGCATATGTGGCACTCGGAGTGCACTGCGGTTCAGCAGATTGCTTGTTTACTTTTTTAACTGTAAGGCGGTTTCTTGTAATTTGGCTCTTGGCAGCACAATAAAAAATTTTAAACCTATTGATGCGTCTTTTCTTAAATGTTCATATTTATTACTTCTGTATRCTGGTCCTTGAGGCATTAGTTTATAGCTTGATATTATGGTGAGCAGAGATTCATATTATTGTCATGCTGACCTGAGATCAGAACATTCCAGAATGCACTGTGGGTGAAGAAGAGCTTGCAGTTACAGAAAGTTCTGCATATTACACTAAAGAATTTACACCTTAGACAGCTTTGTTGAATTCCAAATAGTTCCAGCATTAAGATGAATCAAATGCGAAGTCAGACCTTTGCCCTGCCATGGAGTTTATGTAGTCCAGTCATCCCTGTCAGAAAGCCATAATTAATCATACAGYCCTCTAATGCAAGGTTCTACAAAAAGTGTATGGATCCCAATTTACACTTCATGGACTTCCTGAGCCACAAATAATCTATTTCTCTATTAGCCTATAATGTTGTTTTTTCTTCAAGTAATTTGTAAGTTAATGGACTTTATGTCCAAGTTCTGGTATGTAAGATCCCGAGGCAAGGCGGTTTTCAGCTTAACTACTTGCTCTGTGAAAAACTGCCTCCTTTCTTTGAACCTACCCTCCTAATGGTTTCATTTAATATCCCTGACACTGCATTCAAAGCAGCAGCAGATCAGTATGCATATGCCACCCACTAATTTAGAGACCTGTATCTTGTTTCCTTTTTTTTTCTTAAAAAGCCTAAGATACGATTCTTTGGCAGCAGTTCCATAACTTATGGCCAACCTTGCTATTCTTTGTACTTCTCATACATGTACTTCCATGTACATCCTTTAAAGATGAAGGGGAAGGGGAGCGAAAATGACCAATTTGTTCAAATGTGATACTCCCTGGATCTAGSATGGTGTTCACTGTTTGGATTGCTACTGAATGCTGAGTCAGGGTTCTTGCAGAGTTAGCTGCAATAATACAAAATGCCCAGTAGTTACYGCAAAGCCCATAATTGGCTTTAACTAGGATAGAGAAGTATTTATGTGCCCCCCGTAACATTGCCATATGCTAAATTTCCTGTCCCTCTCTAGTTACCTGTTCCAGCTTTATTGCTCCTTCCCAAGACTAAGGCTATGGAACACTTWTGTCTTCTAGAAGTGATTCTTCAAACTCTGGAAGCATTTTAGGTTTTCATCAGAATGAAACAGAAAGCATCATTGCAACAGTGTATAAAACAATGGTGTATCCATATTTGAATGCTCAAAAGTAGTCCTGGYCTCCTCTGCCTTACAATGTCTGAAAGGATCCTATTTGGAATGCCTATTTACTCTGGAGTTTGTCAGTTTGAAGAAGCTGTATCTGAGTAAGATAGGATTCGCAAATCCTTTAAATGACTTCAATGGCATGCAGATGCAGGAATGCATTTTCTACTTGCTGTGTTTCCAAACATCAAGTAGGAAGTGCCAAAAGAAACTTAAAGGAGGCTGAAACCAAATTSATGAAGAGGAGAAAATTCCTGGTACATACTTTAGGATATAAGAAGTGGCGGCCCAAAAAATGCAAGATTAAAAAAGCCCATCCTCAGCTATTGCATGTAAGGGTGTGATACAAAGCTAGCAAAGGATGAGCAGGGGAGTTACAGTGCTGGTAAGAACAAAATATCTCCAAAGCTTAGATTCGTATGTACTAGGTGGCTAAATGGAGGCATAAATGWTAGTAAGAAAACCAGGTTAGAACGAAACTACTGCCAATCCTTCCATGGCAAAGGCGCTGGAACTGGATGTTCTTTAAAGGTCCCTTCCAACCCAAGCCATYTTACGCCTCCCCCTCCTGGACCGATGAGCGTCCCCTAAGCGGCGCGGGGCTGTGAATCAGTACGGGCAGCGCTGTCTGCGGCTCTGCGGTCACAGCCCAGCCCGGTCCGGCTCCGCGGGCGCTTCCACAGCCCAG